GCTCACTTGCTCAGAATCTCCACCAGGTTTCGCAAAGTCTCCTGCAGTTTGGCTCGTTCCTGCGATTGCGCCGCAGCGGCAGTGGCATCCTGGGCGGCCTTGTCGTCGTGACTCGAGACACGCTTTCGCTTGCCCGGTGTCGCCAACGTGGATGGCTCAGGACTGTTGGGAGGTTGTTCGCCATTTGTGGCCGGCACTGCGGCCGTCCCTCCGCCTTCATCGGCACTCATGACGAATCAGTTGCGCCGCGATTCAAGTATTTTCTTGAGACGGCAATTTGAGGAATTGGGGCAGTTTCCCTTCAAGTTGTTTGTTTGTTTGTTTGTGGGTTCTTGCTCACTTGAGAAAGTGTTGAATGTTAGAGGACACGGGATATTTAGAGCGCGAGGAGAGTGGACTTTTGATCCCTTGACCGGATTGAATCGACGATGAGCGTTGAGTAATGAGAAAAATGGGGGAAATGGGAAGTTAATGAGTCGATGATTGAGCGGTTCAGAGTCTTCGAAGTGGATGCGCCAATGGAGAGTGACTGGACCGATTTAAGGAATAGTGCGCAAGCAGGGGAGGATCGGGACAGTACTCGACGCATATGCCCGCGCTACCGCGTAAGGTAAATTGAACCAAAGTGGGTGTAGGGGATTTTCGGCGCCAGTACGGAGTACGGTACGTACAAACTGCAGACGGGAAGAGTGGATGGTGGTTTAGCTTGGCAAAAGAAAAACAAAAATAAAAAAAAAAAGAAGAGCACGACTGCGGGAATCAAAGGATGAACTCTGGCTCCATTGAGAGAAAGAGAGAGAGTTAACAGAGGATCGACAGAAAGACCGAGCAGATAGACTGACGGACAGTGAGTGAGGAAAGAGAGCGAGGGAGGGAGAGAGCAGAGCAGAGCGAGAGCGAGAGCGAGAGCGAAAGCGAGTCTCCGCCCGCCGCCCTCGGGACTTCTGCGCGTGACAGTATTGATCACGTGATATTGGTATTTTTCCCCAATGGGATCCTCCATCCAAATCCATGTGCTTTGCGCTTTCTGAAAGTTCCACTCGGCTTCAAAGTTGCCTCCTTCACCTTCGCTCAGATACGCAACACTCGCTTAACGACTACTACTTTTATAGCTCAACTCGATGACCGTTCTTCATGGATGTCATCGGTCGTCAATTATGTGTCGAGCTGCTCGAGAGCTTTCTCTCTGAGAGCGGCGCAATTGCCCAACAGCTGTACATCACCGAAGGTACCCAACAATTGAAGAAGAAAATCCCGTAACCTATGCTGAAGCCTTTCCCTCTACAGGTGCCATACTATAACGGCTACCGCTGTACCTTACCCCCTACTAATCCCACATTGGCCTGTCCTATTCCAAGATATGGTCTATCATTTCGGTACATACACATACACCGCAAGCTCGGATCTACAACCGATGCATCCGATCAAAGCTCCCAATCAGTGCCTCAAGAACCGGGCACTCCTTTGCCATGGCTGACTCCTTGGTTTTGGAGGAATCTACGTCTTCAGTCATCCTTGAATCAAGCTTTCGTTGATCCGCGTGCGGATGATGAGCGGGCCAACACCGACTCCTCCAGGTCGACCGTCGCAAGCGCTGCAGAAAACGGGGCAACTACAGACAGAACCCAACGCTCGGACAGAGGAGCATCGGGAATACGGATGGGTGAAACTTGTGAAGAGTATGGGTACGACGCACCAGGTCAGACTGGGACTGAATCCACTCTCCGGTCGACGCCTCTCTCTTCTGCGAATCGTGATGGACTGGACATCGACCGGCCAGACACTGTTCAAGACTCGACTAAAAATACCAGAGCAAACCCCCACAGACCGGCCAAACGCCTGAAACGTTCCAATCCGTGGGGTTATGCGCCTGATCTTACTTCTACAGAGTACCTAATCCTCTCGATCTATAAGGCACACGACCCAGAGAATCGTCATTGGGCGTGTGAAGAACTTGATGATCTCCAGCTTAAATACAGTGAGGCGGCCATGTCATACTACAAAGACTTCCACCGCATAACATTACAGGAGATTGTCGCAGACTACATACTGTATTTAAACCCCCTACTGGACCAATTTGGCGTACAATGCAAGGAGCTCTTGGATCCTAGTCCGCAGCACCTCTCCCAGTACTCATGGAAGCTCGAAGCACTACATAAGAAACTGGAGCGTGTTTTTTCCGAAGCCATTATCGAAAAACTGGCCTCACGAGGATATGCTGCCGCCGATGTGGTGACGTGGGCCTGGGTGCTTAAAAGCGAAACACCATATGAAGCTTGTCTTCGAATTTTACTAGCCGATGCCGATCAATATTCAGCGCAAAGCTCTCCGTCCGGGAGAGTCCCGCCATTCATTCCGCTACTCATTCTACGCCAGGGTCTCGACGTCAGAACGTTCAGATTACTCCTTCATTACTCTCTGGACCTCCTCACCGGCCAATATGTTCGACTCCCAAATAACCTCTCGCAGGACACAACGACCAAACGAATTTCCAATGAGAAAATCGTCTTCGGTACAACAAAGCCGCTGATCAATTTTGAAATGTGCTCAACCTTCGTTATTCGCTTGCTACACCATGCTCGTCAACTGTGGCCGGAGGCCCAACTTGCCATTATCCAGGCTTTTGCGTTCTATTTGAATACGCTGAAGAAGAGTCGCCCAAGATTAACGTTTTCTGAGGATAAACTCCATGCGCTAGTGGTCGACCGGTGTAATACAGTACTTCGCCTACTTTCTCTTCCCTCTCGACGTGAGCCATTTTTATCTGTTTCGTTCCAGCAGCGTGCACAGCTTGAGCTTCTCCGAGCTATGGCTGCATTCCAGCCGGCCCTGCCGGTCACGAAACGGGGCTACCAAAGTCTGGTCGTCGTACAGCTTGCTCATAGGAAGACAGAAGCCGAGCGCCAATCCGCGGAACTCAAGGCCCCGTCGTGGCCGCCTTGGAAGGAAGATAAGATAGGGTACGACGTCGATCGGGGACTCCAAGGCAGGAAAAGTCGCGCGATGCGAGTGCTGGATCAAAAGCTAGAGGCGGGATATTCTTCCTCTGCATGGGATAATATGTCTCGTATCCTAGCAGGCTGGGACACAGACGGAAGCCCAACAATCCAAACCCGATCCTTCGGGCTGTCTCGACCGGAAATTCTAGACCGGTTTCCAGCCCACTCCGACCATTACAAGCTTTGGGAAGCACGAATTCGTGCTACAAGAACTGTCCGGGAAGCCTGGGCCTGTTTTCTTTCTTATCAGGAAAAGGGGTTGCGTCCACATGGTGCTATATACGCAGCGATGGCGGAAAAGTTGATACATCGCAACCGAACTAGTAGCAGCGACAACAATAGCATGGCTCTACCAGGTGATGGACTAGAGGTTTTCCCGGAACCTTTATCCGCCAGGGACCTGATCTATGTGCCCTCTGAACCACCTACCTTGAACAATCTTCTGCATATGATGCTCTCTCAGGGTATCCGGCCATCTGGTCGGTTTCTTGCCTTGCTTCTACAACATGCACCAACTTTTCATGCCGGGCTGGAGTATCTTTGTTGCAGCAATTTGACGGATGAGCAGCTTGGGGCTTTGTGTATTGATTGGGGAAGCGACTTTTGTCATCCCAATTGGCTCAAGACGCTCAAGACGGGACTGAACGAGCTGCCGGATTACCTTGTCGCTTCGTTCGTCAAGTTCCTCTGCAGCTTTGCCAATCGAACTTATTTACCCGTGCTACAGCCTACCCCGCCTCCCTCGGATCTATTTCCTTTGCGGTTGGTAGGAAAAAGGATGTTGGAGCCACTAGTCTTCCAGATGAGAAAAGAGCGACTTAGTCCCTCTAACGGTCATCCCAGGGCGCTGCCTCATGCTATTGACCTTTTACGGGCGCGAGCCTCAAAGCCGCCACAAGCGTGGATCTATCTTCTGTCTGCCGTGATCGAGCGCAGCCCGCATAGAACCAGCGCTCCCGTTAAGCCGGTGGTGGCTTGGTTCAAAGCTCAGCTGCTCATGAGATGGATGGACCACCGCCAGATCGACACTGGCCTGGAAGGATTCAATATACTCTGTCAGGCATTTTCACGCGTCCTGATGATTAGGAAATATCATGCTGTTATGGAAGAGGGGTTGGACATTGTTAGCAGGATGGCATTATCAGGTCAACTCAGTCTGCATGGTCTGGTCCTGCCACGACCTGAAGATGTGGTATCATCTGGCCTCGATTTTCTGAAGCAACAGTTTGACAAGTGCGTTCTCGGGGACCCGCATCTTTCCTCACTTTTCGAGCACAGTTCCTCGACAATTCAGCTTGTCACCGACGCACAGGTGATTTTGCCGCCGATGTTTCATGTTCCATCTCCTGCGGTTCTCCATCTCTTTGTTCGCATCCTTGGGATTGCTGAAGACTCGGATGGATTGCTAAGCCTCTTGCGGTGGATGAAGCAGCACGAACTTTCTTTGAAGGAGAAGTACGACCAGCTTTCAAATGGAGATCAGCTGATGCGCCGTGTCATAGTAGCCTTTCGAGTGTTCTTAGAAGGATCTAGGAAGGTCCGGCGCACCTCGGTTCAGCAGGAAGGTGGTGATCACACCGATTCTACAAGGTTGGAATTTTCCGATTCCCATTTACAGGAGGCCTATGAAATCATTACTTCTTCGAAGGTCTGGGGTTCTTGGCCGACTGATGATGAGTTCAAGAAGTACATAGCGCAGTGAGAACAACTGCATGGAGGCGCATGGTGAGGACGCATCGCTGCAGGTCGGCGATTATTATGCCAGCGCTATTCATCTCCAATGTATATTATCCATTCTGAATATAGCTAGACCTCTGTGTGACTACTTCTAGAGACTACGTCGGACAAACAAATGAAGTACTGAACTTTCACCAAAAAAAATGAAAATCCCCAGAAAAAATTAAAATAAAGCGCTTATTCGCGGTTCCCCGCAATTTCCGTTCGCCGGTTTCCCCACACCTTCCCGTCCTTCTCCAACAACTTTCAGTCTATCTTCAACCCTTCCATCATCCTCCCATGAAATCCTCCCGAGGTTACCATCTTGATATCTCAGTTCAGCGACAATGGCACCTCGACTCCCCCAACCTATCTCTACCCTTCAAGCACTCTCACGCGCCGCCCCACTTTCAATCCGCATCCCAGTTGCGCGCTTGAGTACCAGCAGCAGCGACAGTGTGATCCAAACTCAACACGTCCCGGCCCCAGGCTCCGGGACCATTCGCGTTCTTCTTCTCAACCGGCCCAAGGCTCGGAATGCCATCTCTCTCAGCCTGTTGGATGGCCTATCGCAACAGGTCAAATCCATCGCGGCCGAGAACGGCCAAGGGCCGACTCGAGCCTTGGTGCTCGGTAGCAACGTGGATGCCGCGTTCTGCGCCGGGGCGGATCTCAAGGAACGTGCCGACATGAGCAAAGAGGAGTTGGTCCCCCTCCCCCTCCCCCTTTCTTCCCCCGATATTCGATCTTCCGGTCTGCTAACCCCCACGCTCCGTTCCACCGCATCCACAGAACGAGCCAATTCCTCCGCCACCTCCGCCAAACCTTCACCGCCCTCTCCGCCCTCCCCATCCCGACCGTCTCCGCCGTCTCCTCCACGGCCCTGGGCGGCGGCCTGGAGCTGGCCCTGTGCTCGCACTTCCGGGTCTTCGGCTCCTCGTGCATGGTCGGGCTCCCGGAGACGCGCCTGGCCATCATCCCCGGCGCGGGCGGCACCTACCGCCTGCCGCGGCTGATCGGGGTGCACCGCGCGCGCGACATGATCCTGACAGGCCGGCGGGTGTCCGGGCCCGAGGCATACTTCCTGGGGCTGTGCGATCGGCTGGTGGAGGTCCTGCCGGAGGAGGAGAAGCAGGAGGGCGTCGCGCGGGAGAAGGTGCTGCGCGAGGGGATCAACCTCGCGCTGGGGATCTGCGAGGGCGGGCCCGTGGCGATCCGCCAGGCGATGAAGGCGCTGGATGGGTGGGAGCAGGGCGAGGCGGCGGAGAATGAGGCGTATGAGGGGGTGATGGGCACGGAGGATCGGATGGAGGCGCTGCGGGCGTTCGCGGAGCGGAGGAAGCCGGTGTTCAGGGGGAGGTGAGTTGGGGTTGGTAGTTCTCACTTTGTGAAAGTGGTGTACACTTTTTGTGATGCTGAGAGGGTTACTGCTGAGGGGGTTACTGCTGAAGGGGTTACTGCTGAAGGAGGAGGAAAGTAGTGTTGGGCGCGTGATGAGATATCAAGATTACTACCATCACGTTTGAGGTGAAAATGCTGAGTGTGTTGAGTTGTAGTTTATCTGGGGACTCTCTTATATCAAGGCACGGGCCGGTTATGGATCGGTTCTGCGTTATAGTAGGTCGGATTCTAATGTCACATCTCCACCCCCAGCACAGACGGTAGCGGTAGCATCAAGCAGTATTGCCGTTAGAGTATCATAGCCACTGATCAACCACCAAGGGAGGTATGGGTTGTTCGAAATTCTAATCCCTCTATACACAATACACCGACATGGAATACTCCGTCTTGCGGCCCTGTTGAGTCCAGGTCTGATGTAACGTAGTTATACGTGATAATCTAGGAAGTTGGAACTGGGACATGCCAGAGCAAAGCCAAGAAGAATTGGACCATTGCCTGATTTTTGGTGATATTCTCAGTTCAGTTCTGACTCACAGCCTTTTCAAAGTAGTGTTCTACAAGACTCGAACCTCCAAGTAAGAGAGGTCTTCCTCATTGCACCGCTGCGCCTTCGGGGCGTTTGTTTTGCCCCGGGGAGGGAAGGAGGGAGGCTGCGTGCCCGCCCCCGGGTTGGCAACGGTCAGCTGGGGGTGCCCCCTCGGAGCTGGTTGACGGGGGGGGTGTCTCAGTGGCAAGTGAGTACATCAACTGGCGCTAAGGTATGAGGGGTTTATTCTCCATCAGTGGATTTTTGAGCTGATAGAGAACATGAGTAGGCAGAGTGAGCAAGCGGGACAAGCACCTGGGGTTGGAGTCAATCATTCAGGATTCCTGGTTGACATGAGATACGTTTCTCATTTTATCTTGGGTGTGTATGATCTTCCTTTCAGAGCTAAAGCTTACCTATATACACGGGCGTGGGGTTGTTTAAGCTTCCGTCTGACTAACTAGTATTTGGCGTTAGATTCTGCTGAGGTTATATGTGGTAAATGATGGATCATGGTGGATTAAGCAAATGATTACCCTTTTCAGTAAGTCATGGCTGGGACGGGACAAGCCAGGAGTGGGCGTTGGTTACTGTAGTGAAGACAATGAGCAAATTCATTAGATATTAGTTGTTTCTGCTTCTACCCGTGATGAATAACTAAGGAACAGTAAATCTATCTCGATATAGTAAACCTACAGACTGCCCATGTTTGGACCCTCTACATACTCTCTCATTCCCGTGTATAGAGGGACTGCCTCGCGGTCAAGAATCATACGTGGCCTTGCACTAATCAAAGATCTTCTGGTCGGACAAATAATCACTCGTTGAAGGGTCTTTGAGTTAGTTAGTGCTTACAGCTGGCAGCTGGGCTTACAGGGCGCCAGAACATCCTTCCGGAAGTTAACTGCGCACGCAGGACTGCCCCTTGTTTTGGATGCGAAGGTGGCGGGCTTCCGAGCGATCGGTGAATATGCAACATCCTGAGATTGGGAAACGGTGGGAAGGAGACAGCCAGATGATGTTGTGTTTGACTGGTCTTCGATAGTGGTTTGAGATGTAATCAAGCATGTAGAATGATGCTTGGGTGAAGTGGGGGTGGCTGGCTACTGCAGAGTACGCGGGAAGTCACTGCCTGTCCAAGGCTACTAACTACGACTTGAGTCAACCACGGCGAAATCTGCCTGGAAACAAGACTACTACTCCGTACAAATCATCCACAGCAATCAGCAAGCAACTTAACCTTCCCGATCGGACGGATGCCAAAACCTTGGAGGAGTTCCCGTGGTTTTCCTCAGGGGAGGTGACCAGTGGGAGGTCATGCTGCCGGCCTCGCTGACTGCAGATCCGTGACACGAGCCTCGGGGCTGAGTCTTGCAGCTAGACTTGCGAAGAGTCCGACAAGGCTGAACAGTCACCGCTACCTAGGAGTCTCCTACCTGCTTGGATAGTACTAGCTTTGACCCTGTTATATCATACAATGAATGACCTATCATCACCTCTCTCTCATGAATCGTGGTCTTTTTTCCGTGGAAAGTCCCCGTTTCACCCATCCATCGTTCTGTACTGTAACTACTACTTATAACATAACAACAACCATTGAAGACCTGTCAAGCGCCATGTGTATTTAGTTGACCTTTTTAAGATTGTCTCAGCCTCAGCAAGATTAGCACAGCAAGATTAGGAAATCTGATTGCCCTGAGGTGGAGATTTGTAGGGGTCTTATTCTGTCTGCATTTGGCACCAACTGCCACTCCGGGGGCCGGGCAAGTCATCCGCCTTTCTCATGCTCCTTCCTCCCCAGCGCATAAATAACTTATTGTTCCCCACACACACACACACACACACACAAACTCTCTCTCTCTCTCTTCTTCTTCTTCTTCTTCTTCTTCTTCTTCTTCTTCTTCTTCTTCGTTCTCCACTACCACATACACCCGCTCAATACTGACCTTCGTATCAAACATCCTACCTTCGCTTTCTTCCCCTTACAGGCATTCGAGGTATCGTCAAACGTCCAAGGAATCTTGACGTTTCGACTATCTCACCCACACCCTAACCCATGGCCGGCCTTCCCGCTCGGGTGAAGGAGATCGGTCTCAGCGAGGTTTACCGTTCTGAGGAAGCGCCCCTCGTTGATATTGTCTTCGTGCACGGCCTCAACGGCCATGCTTACAACACCTGGGCTTCCAAGAACAATGGCACCTTTTGGCCCGCCGATCTCCTTCCTGAGGTCCTCGGCCCTAGTCGCGTTCGCCTCTTGACGTACGGATACAACGCCAATGTCACGGCTTTCACCGACGGCGCCTCGAAAGACCGTCTTCATAATCATGCAGAAACGTTGGCCTCGGGCTTGGCCGCGAACCGAAATGTGAGTGATATCGCCCCTCCTCCGCTCCTTCGTCTGACTCGCGCGGAAGTCGTATTTTGTCCCAGGGTATACATATTGACCTCGTTCAGCTGCGGAATTGTTCAGAAAGGCCAATAATTTTCGTTTGCCACTCGCTGGGCGGCCTGGTCGTCAAGCGCACCCTGATATACTGCCGGAGCGTGAACAACGAGAAGATCCAGCATCTCAGGTCCATATACGTTTCCACGTACGGCATCCTGTTTCTCGGAACTCCCCACAACGGATCCGACGTCGCAAAGTGGGGCGCGCTTTTGCAGAATATCTGTAGTGCTGTAATGCCGAAGAAGTTCATGGAATCTTCGCCTCACTTGGTTAAAGCCCTCAAGACAAACAACGAGACTCTTCAGAACATCAATAGCCTCTTCGCTGATATCACTAGTCGCTTCCACATCTACTTCTTTCATGAAACCTTGTCCAGTGACGTCAAGGGCACTCGCGAGCTGATTGTCGACGAGAGCTCTGCGGCACCTTACATGGAAGGTGTCGAACGGATGGGCATCGAAGCTGACCATAGCCATATGTGCAAATTTGACGATGAGGGCTCTCCTGGATATGAGGCTGTGGCAGAGGCTCTCTTGCGATATTCGCGTGACGCCCCAGCGACCATACATGAACGCTGGATCGAAGAGGGAAAAGCGCGCCGGCTCATGAAAGAGACCATAGCCCGGGAGATGTTTGGAAATGGTATGTGATCTCGGTCGATTGCCTTCGCGTAACTCTTTCACTTCGTTCCTACCCAAGCGGCCGCCAAGAGCTGACGATGTACGGATAGTTGACACGGAGCAACTGGGAAGAAGCGCCCCGGACCTTCGCACAATTGGTAGGCCACACATGCTTCCTGGTCCCCATTCTCCAATTACCTGGAATCAGTACGAGGTCGAAGAGCCCCCGGAACCTTCTTTCCCTTATAGTAAGCATTTCTAGGCGGTGCATCGTGTTGAAGAAATTCGTGGAGGGGCGGTAATTGTCTTCTTCGTCGTCTCAATACTTTCGTCTGTTTCTCTGCTCCATGTATCCTAGTTGCTTCTTTTTGCCATGGACACATTGTCAGTCGATAATGCTGACTATGTCTCAGGTAACTCTGAATTAATGGTACTCCCTTCTGAGAGAAGACGATCGGTTGTATCAGAAATGGCGATGGCAGAGAGCACCGAGCTTCCTATGTCACGATCGCTACGGGCAGATCCGCTGTTTGTGGTCCCACCCGGCTTCCATCCAAATGCAACATTTGTAGGCATGAAGAAAGAGCTTGAAGTGTTGCATGCGCGTTTGTTCAAAGCCAAGAAGAGAGCGGAGCGTCTAATGGCCGTCTTGATTTGTGGAGGACCCGGGACTGGCAAGTCACACCTTGCACGACAATATGTGTGCACCCATCGAGATATCTACCCAGCGGGGATTTTCTGGGTCGATGCCAAGTCACTTGAATCAACCTACAAGTGTTTCTGGGATATGGCTCAGGCGGCTGCACTGACGGATGGGCAGGAATTCCGGTACCCCGACACCAACCCATCTCGCAAGTATGTAGACTCGGTGAGGACATGGCTGCAAAACCGGGAAGGGTGGCTCATTGTGTTCGACGGAATCAGCTTTGCGCACGAGCATGATATCAACAACTTCAAGCAGTTTCTCCCGTTCAACAAGAACTGCAGTATCATCTACACCTCGGTGGATAAAACCCTGAAGAGGAAACAACGTTTATACGAGCCATATTGCCTTCAGGTGAAGCCACTCGAGCCGGAGAACGCATGCAAGCTGCTTTTTGAAGACCTCGGTATCAGAAAACCAACCGCAGGCCAGATCAGGAAAGCCACGGAACTGGTAACTCACTATGAGTGCCTGCCACTCGCTATACATGCGATTGGCCACAGGCTTAGCGCCACGTCGAAGCCAATTGAGCGTTATCACATCAATTCACATTTGACAGACGAAAAGCTGGCGGAACCGTTTCTAAGCATCATGCACGACCTAATGTGTCTGGGGCACTGGACGGCACTCAACCTGGTTAACATGCTTTCGTTCTTTAGTCACCATATCCCGGTTGGTCTCTTAACCTTGGGTCTCTCAACACGTATAAAGCAGAGGGCTGGAGTCATCACCCAGAGCAGAAGCGGAGAAACGGGGGATCTTGACACGACGATTGGAATCTTGATCAGGTATGGCCTCATTGAACGAGTGTCTGACTCGTACCCGCTGCACCCCGCAGCTCTGTCGCCTCAGGCAGAGAGAGACAATGTGCTGGAACAAAAGTTTGTGGTACCGGACCTCTCTGAGTCGCAAACAGAAAGCAGTCAGGAAGCCTTCTTCTCTTCAGTTTTGCAGAATGCAGGAACGATTGACGTCTTGAAGATCCACAGTGTCGTTCAGGGGTTCTGCCGTGATGAGCTGAAGATGATGGATGAAGAAGAGCGGAGGAAAGCCGCCGCCACAAACCCAAACGCTCCGGAGACTGGATTGTATGATTCATGGCTTGTCGTGGTATGCGACGTACTCAGCACCTCGTACACGAAAGTTCAAACAAGAAACGAAACCGACGGCTACGGACTTGTCAAAGATTACCGCGAGTTTGAGACTCATGTGTCAAAGGTGCTCGAGCACTTCCCAAGACGATCTGCCCGGGAGGCAGCTGCGGTCCGTCAGGCGCGGGAAGACATGAGGATATTGAAGAGGAGTATTTCCAGGGAGATAGATCGGATTTCACCAAGGTCTGGTTCGATCTATAACCAACGCTCGGTCTTTGATCGATCAAGTAGCTCGTCTTCATCGGTGCCTGAGTCCGCCGCTGAGGACTTGCCTGGTTGGCTTGAACCAGCATCGCCCCAGGTGGAGTCTCCGCAGGAGGCCGCTCCGCGCCCGCAAAAATTCAATCTGAAGCCTTTCCTCCCACACATATTTCGTCATTCCAGCCAGGATCAGGCGGGCAGCGCTCCTCCAATTTCGCAAACGGGTGAAGAAAGCGAGAGGCCTGAGTCCAATTCATCTGAAGTGGTATCTAGTACGAATACGTCGGATGACCGAGGCTGGCATCTTGTCAAGAAATCTTCGAAGCCCCCAAAGCCTGCTGGTAACAAGCCTAAACGGCCTAGTTTACCGCATCACATTCGTGGCTCTCAGCCTGCAGCGCCTGTTCTCAAGGTCTTCCCCGTAGAGGGCATATCGGGCAAGCCTGGAGACCAAGACCGTAGCAGCTCTCGGACTTCGGCGTCGGAGGCGTTGACGGCGGTCACAAAAATCACGCGCCCCCAGATGAACGGCAGGCAATTTGCAAGTGCTCCAGGCGATTTCACAAAGAGCTTGTCGAAGGAAAATGATTCGCCGAGCTACGCCACGATTGCAGCCAGACAGGCGCAACATATCACTGAAAAGCCACGGTCATCCTCGATTCCTAATAGAAGCCGGCCAAGGTTGCAGGGTGTGCAGGATAAATCCTCTGAAGAATCACTTTTCAACCGTTCGAGCAACATTATGTCTTCGAAGCCTCCAATGACCTCTTCGACATATAGTGAGCCTGATCCGGCGTATTTGAGCCATCAGTTGAATGCTTTGGAACTCGGGGTAACGGCTAGTCGATATAGAGCGCCTCTGGGCACGTCCTTCAGTGGTATTGGGTCTCCAGTGGGCGATATGTCAGCAAGCACACCTTCTATGACATATCTCGCGCCAGGCCTGCCATATGAGGGTAACATCGATATATCAGCAGCACGTCGACTGAGCACCACACCATCGACATCAACAGGCCCAGTTTCCCATCCGTCTGCGATCATGCCCGGAACATCACCACCGTTTTCAGACGTGCACGCTGGATACACGTCCGAGCCGGCCCCAGAGCCGATGTCTCGTGATATGTCCGCGAAGTCACAACAGTCGTGGGCCACCGACCCAGTCCCGTATCCCCATAGATGGACCCCAGTTAACATCATTCCACCAATCCCGAAGCTGGCACCACCGCCAAGGCCAAGTAAATTTCAGGCAGAGCTTTCGTACGCAGCGGCAGCGGCACATCTCCGGACTTTGGAGCCTCTAGAGGGTCCCGTCCCCTTCGAGCCTGTGTGGCCGCATATGAATGTTGACAGCAGACCACAGTTTGGTGGGCCAGTGCAGTATGCAGCAGCAGCAGGGCAACTCTTGCCTGGGTACCCTGCAACTTACCACCCAAACCTCTCCGGACCTCTACTCTCACACGAGATCACCATACCGATGGCGGAGCCGCGCGGCGGGCGAGCCCGGAGTGGGAGCTCTCCTCCACGACAAGAATAACCCATAAACGGGATCAAGATCGAATAAGCAACAACGAAAAGTACTCTCAGTTATTTGGCGTCAGGTTTGTCGGAATTATATTGCGTGAAAACAGCATAGCAGGTTGGGGGGAATGGAGGGCTCGGTGTTGACATGTATCATCCCCGCATGTGGGCGGCGTAACGCGTCTGTGGATATTTGGCTTGTTGATTCATTTTCATCATTTTCCGGGCACCGATGACCAGTTTTGTTTGAGACTGTATCATCAATAGAGCAATGCCACACTAAGCAAATAATAAGGTGTAGTTAATTTGATGCAGATACACACGGTTTCACAGTTTTACCGACTTCAGAGATGATTTGTGTGAGGGGGAGAGAAGAATGAAAGAAGGCGTAAAGGAAGAAAGGTGCGGGGAAACGGGAGCATCCCAGCTACACCGCCTTCTGGATCCGAGATATACGAGGCAGAAAGCACTTTGTGCACGGTGCTGAAATGTACAGCGAGGAAGCATGCACTTGATTAGACTACATCAGAGATAGAGCCAAGTTCTAGCACTTAGGGCTGATCAAAGTAGTGTTCTTCTATAAGTAGTTCTCTAACTAAAACTTACAGTACGTACAAGCAAGAGCAAATTCTGCCGGGGACCAGACCGGGCGGTGGGATTTGCGGGGGACCCACTGGGGAAATGGGCTAAGCCCAAAAGAGAGGGAGTACGAGAGGTGGCGGGCGGGCATCGACGTAAGAGCGACATAAGAGAAGAGAAGCAAGCCAAGCCAAGCTGCCCAGCATGACGTCGTTCAACTGCCATGCCTCAAGCTTATAAGACTCTGGTTGCCAGCATGCTTCCTGGACTACACTGACAACTACTCCGTATATTCACATCTGATCCTCAGTCTCAAGAACCATCCTCAATTGGTACAACTACTCCCATTACTACCACCATTACTATTACTCTATACATACATCTCAACATACATCTTATACAATATCCCACCATGTCTTTCATCGCTCGCATCGCCCCTGTCGCTCGCACCGCCTCCGCGGCTCTCAAGCCCACTGCCCCCTCCATCTCCATCGGCGCCACTCGCGCTCTCTCCTCCAGCGCCTGCCTGAACAAGGGTCCCGTTGAATCCGCCAAGGACACTCTCAAGGCCGCCGACCGCACTGTTTCTGATGCTGCCGTGAAGGGTATTGAGGTCGGAGGTACGTTACTTCACTCCTTTTCCCTTTCTCCTCCCTACTCGGAGGGACTAGGCTAACCTGATTGAACCCGCCAACAGAGACCGCCGCCGAGAAGCTCAAGGGTACCGTGGGCGCTGCCTCGGGCCAGGCTCAGGCCAAGACCGGCGAACTGCAGGGTGATGCGGCCGAGTTGGCCGGCAAGGGCAAGGGCAAGGCCGAGGAGGCTTTGGGTCAGGCCAAGGGTGCTGCTGGCCAGGCCAAGGGAAAGACGGACGAGCTCCTGGGTGAAGCCAAGGGCAAGGCTAAGGAAACTGCTGGTCGGTTCTAGATGAGCAAGCATCATCTTTTGATTTTATTGCGCGTGGTTTTTCTTTTTACTTGTTCCTTGACAACCACTTTCACTGGATGATGTGATGAAGATATGCTAGCTATCATGGGCCTTGTGATTGTATTATTATTATTCTAATGAAACAAAGAAAAGATTTCTTCATGATTTTTGTGACTTTGATGATAGAGTAGTTATGATAGGTTAAGTGATTGTGGAGGTGGTTAGTGGCTCGGCGATGATGTAAGGCCGCATGGCTCTATCGCCATAAGGATCGGATCCAACATTCTAAAAATAAGGAGTTTCCGGGGTCTTGCAGAACTTTAATTCCCGTGCCATGTGAGGGAGTTTATGGGTATACGTATCAACATGAGTTATAGGTTACAACAATTATACAATTAGAAGGCTTTCAGGTCGTCGGTTCTGATGACGCCAACAAAACATTTACTTGTATCTGGTTCAGGGGCCAGATGTGTTGTGCAGAACTAAACCTCGATCCATGATTTGTTATCCAACTGTCCCTGCCCCTCCGATCATGAACCGAGGCATGGTTTTTTTGCCTCTGTTCCCCTTATCGCCCCTTCCCCACTCGTCTGTTGCTTCCTGCTACCTACCTCTCTTTTCGTTTCTTCTCTTACTTTTTTGTTCTCTCCTTCTCGGTGTTTCCCTGTTGTGGCGGTTTCCCCTCCTTATCCTGTCCTCTTCACCTTCCATTCATTTCTACATCGTCTTTCCTAGTCTGAAACAACACAATGAGGAATTTCGATAACCCTCTCAGTGTGCTCAAGGCCATCCTTGTGCGCATCCCGCTCGTACTCAAAGTCATCTTCCTCCATGCCATTCGCCTCTCCCCGGTCAAGGGCAAGCAGGATCTCCGCACCGAGTTGACTGTCGCCATCATTCGCTCGCTCCTCAGCTTCAGCGCCTCCATTTCCGAGCAGCAGAAAGCCAGCATCCGCGACCCGGGCATCAAGGGTCCCATGTGGGTGTCCAAGGTGACGTTTCCGCAGCCGGAGATCGACGTCCAGGACGCAGTCGTGAAAGCCATTGAAGCCCTCAGAACGGGCGATGAGACCTACGATCTGCCTGGAGTGGCACCGGTCGAAGCAGAATGGACGGGCTATCGCAGTGGCGTGGACAAGAACGCCCCGCAGCCCGACATCTCCGAGGAGGCCAAGTATGAGGAGTTGAAGAAGGAATCGAAGGAAGACATGGTCATTCTCTACTTCCATGGGGGGATTTACTTGTGAGTTCTCCCTGTCTTTATCTCTCTCTCTTCCCATGACCTCTTAAGGATCAATGGTATCATCTTGCACGAAACTCACCGCTCAATTCCAGCCTTATGGATCCCTGCACGCACCGTCCCACCGTTGCGCAACTCTCCAAACGCACTGGGGCCCCCGTCCTCTCCGTGCGCTACCGTCTCGCCCCCCAGCACCCCTTCCCTGCCGCCCTGACCGACGCCCTCGTCGCCTACCTCTCCCTCATCTCCCCACCCCCGGGCTCCCTCCATGACCCCATCCCTGCCAACAAGATCATCCTGGCCGGCGACTCCGCAGGGGGCAATCTCTCCCTCGTTCTCACTCAACTCCTGCTGACTCTCCGCCGCGTTCAATCCACCATCCGCTTCCACGGCCGCGACATCCCCATCGCCCTCCCCGCAGGCGTCGCCACCTCCTCCCCCTGGTGTGACATGACCCGGTCGATGCCCTCAGTGGCCCATAATGCGATCTACGACTACCTGGATGCGCCGGCATCTACGCCCGCCACAGACCCGTTCTTCCGGCCCCTGGTGGTCCCCGCCGACGACATCTGGCCCGTGAAGCCTCCGCGCGTGGACCTGTACGTACACGCCTCCTCCCTCCTGCACCCGCTCGTCTCTCCGATCGCCGGCGACGCGGAGCTCTGGGCCGACGCCCCGCCCGTGCTTCTCTCCATCGGCGAGGAAGGCCTCACGGACGAGGCGCTCGTGCTTGCCCGCAAGATGCACCGCGCCGGCGCCCCCATCCTTGTTGAGCAGTTCGAGGGCATGCCGCACTGTTTCGGGATGGTGATGCTGGACGCGCCCTCGGGTCGGCGGTTCTACGATGGCATGGCGCGGTTCTGTCGCGATGCGGTGTTCCACAAGGGGAAGGAAGTGAAGGCGAAGAGCGGCGAGGTTACATTCATCGGGTATAAGTTGCTCTCCGAGAAGGCGATTCCCGTGGAGAAGGCAGTCACGCTCTCGGACGAGGAGGTCGAGGAGCGGCTACGCGTGAATGCGCAGTGGCGGTTGGACGGCGAGAGGGAGTTGCAGAGGGAGTGGGCGGACAAGGCCAAGTTGTGATTTTTCCTTTCCCGCCCGGACACACCATCCATACACACAACAACCTTTAAGGTTCCCTCCCTTAGCTCTTTCTCCATTCTCCATACCCCCACCCCTCTAAGGTGTTCTCAATTCTTCCCAATTGATCTTGTGGATGATGTGACAGTTTAGGTTTGACCTCTTCCGCTTGGCGTGTTACTCGATTTGTTAATGTTGTTCATGGTTCAATACCCTGTTAGACTATTTGCGCTTAGCATAATGAACACGATTGAATGTATTCCGCTCAGATGAAATAGTTGCTCTATGCATGAAGGATCTTAGTGTGTACGTACTAGTATCTAGTCTCCGACTAATTTAGTACGTAGTACTACCGGAAAGGGGAAAGTAAACACGGGTTCGCGCAGATCCACGATAACCTTAGATAAGAGCTGTACCGGCATGGCATGGCGCCTCGGGATTCAATCCTACAGCCGCCGGATCAAACCCTTACCCTGACCAACTCAACCATGATGCAAAGCAATACAGAGAAGAAAGTTCAGGCCGAAACGATGCTTAAGGTATAGTAGCGATCTGAGAGAGAGATAAAGGCTAATAGATTGGTAGAGCTTCCTTCCTCCCTTTCAATACCAAGTCATGAATCATATTCCGGCCCCCAAAACACCATGCACTGGGAAGTAATGTGTCGAATAATGGATCTCCTCAAAAAAACTATATGACCTAGGGGTGACCTGCTTGTAACTGAACTAAATAATCTCATCATCATCCATGGACCCGTCGTCGTCCCAGGAACCAGATCCAGCATGGCCTCCTCCATGACTCTGGCTGGGGTTGCGCCCACCCCCATTCAAGTCTAATTCCGGAACGGCTTCGGGAACCACCGGTCGCTCGTCGTCCCTTCCGGCCCACAACTTCGACGGCGAGAAGAAGCCACCACCACCACCACCACCACCACGGCTTGCTGCTGCTGTGGATTGTGCGAGACTTACAACGCGGGTTCCGTGGATGCGGATCTCGCCCGACAGGTTCAGCGGCCGGGGGGGCTCCGCAACGAAACCGTCCCAGAGGCCGAGGGAGAGGGCGACGAATCTGACTGTGGCGATAAGAATGGCCCAGACCGGTGCGAGTATGGACGAGAGATTCAGCCAGCGCCAAAGCATTGTCGGAATCACGTAGGGGAATTGAGGTGCATCGTGCCGGAGACAGTTGCCCTCGCAGACGTTCGCGATGATGGGGTGGCAATAGTAGTCGCACATGGTGGTTTCGGAGTATAACCAGGCCAAGAATATGAGGAGGCACCATCCGAGGCCGGTGGGACGGACGCGTCGGGAGATGGGATCGCGTTTCCAGAGCCGAGGAAAGGAGATGATGGTGTAAACCCGGCCTTCAGTCTCCGCCTGGCACTTCGCGCAGATGGTTGCTCGTGGAGATTGTGAACCCTTGGATAAGGGTGCGGTCAAGATGCTGGCGTCGCGCGAGGCTTGTT